GGTTAGGGCTGGCATACTCACGGGTTCAACCACACTTCCAACTTTGTAGTATCTGCAGATACGAATCCACCAAACATGCCGGCGCACTCGCAGTTTGTGCAGCGAGATGATCAAGGGTTCCATGGCAGATAATGTCAGCCCGATGGTGCGTGACCTAATTCGCAGTACAGCACCAAGCATAGAATAATATTTCATCCAACAGATCGCTCCAGTGTGTTCTGCGCATGTTTATCATATCCGAAAACAAAACAAATTCGGAGCTTGGACAACGACTTGTGCTGTACATCCCTCGGAATTCAAAACGGCGTGTCTAAATCCCCCCCGGTGGGGTATTTCGAATTGTCCCCCACCGGTGAGGGAGTAGTGTCTAAATACCCAGGGTACACGTCGGGGAAATTCCCGGGGTTTCTTTCCCGCCGTGGTGGGCGGTCCCGGTACTGGCCGTAATTACCGCCATATTTCGGTGGTACCGGGAACCGCCGAAGGCGGTACCGCCGAAGAACGAAAAGCCGCCTTCCGTCTACAGAGTACCGCCGTACCGTGACCGCCTAGGAAGAACCGCCAAAAATGAAGAACGGGGAACCGCCTAAAAATAACCGCCGACAAAGTACCGTCGTACTGGAGTACCGCCAAACTACTACCGCCAAACTGCAGCACCGTCCAAATGGTACCGCCGTGCTGCATACGGCCAAAACAGTACCGCCTTACTGCAGCACCGTACTGCAGTACCGGCATAATGGAACCGCCGTGACACAGAGTAAATTTGATCGACTTCATAAGTCGCGAGGGAAGAGATTGCTGTACCCTTCTCGCGATAAAAAATATCTCAGGCAGGAACCGCAGGAGGGGGTCTAACCCCCCCCTCCTATGTGACCCCGGTTGGGTCGTCTAGCTGGTAGAAGTGGAGGATAGGGGCCAGAGGGGTATACGACAGAGTCCAACGATGGGAGAAAAAAAAAAAAATCGCCGTGAGGGTGCTCGTGGTAGATAGTGTTGCGGGGTGAATGGTGGGGGAAGATTTCGAAAGACAAGTGTTCAAATCTCGCTGGGCGTTTTTCTTTTTCTTTTTCTCGTTCTTTCTAGATAATGGTAGACAAGTAGTATGACAACTTTTTTTCCCCCTTCTTTTTGGTTCTGTCATGTTCTTTTTCGCTGTAACCTCTTTGATCTTTCCCGTGATGCCGTGATGCCGTCATGGGTGCCTCCTGCCCACACACGCACACTGCCCCAACGTCCAGCAGAGCAATGAGCGTTTTTTCTTGTCCGTGGCAGTCGACGGATCGCGTTTCAACACACACACCTCTTTCTTTGTATATTCTCTTTTCTTTTCGTTGCCTTTCGTTTGTCCATGAGGCTGCTTAAGTTGACGATGGGTACGCATAGATTCGTGAAATCACGAAATCATAGGGGAACAGTACGCTCTCAACGGCACATCACAAAAAGACCCACGCCGCAAAGAGAGACAAGAGGTTCGCCGCTTGATGGGGCGCACCATATGCAGTTGAGCATTGCTATATTTTGATATTTTGGTCTTCCCGCGACCGCCGAAGGCGATACCGCCATATTTCAATACCGCCAGGTAAAAACCGCCTTATGTTGGTGGTACCGGGACCAAATAAGGCAGTTCCGCCATATTTCAGTACTGCAAGAATATACCGCCATTTTTTGCAGTACCGGGAACCGCCGAATGCGGTACCGCCATATTTCAGTGCCGCCAAATGAAAACCGCCAAAGGCAGTACCGCCGGAAAATGAAGAACCGGGATCCGCCGAAAAAAGTACCGTCACATTGAAATACCGCCGCGCCTGTATCCGCCTAAAAGACCGGTACCGACGTGTACCCTGTAAATACCCCACCAGCTGTATCTCGCCCTTCAAGGCACCAATCGACGTACGTAGGATATGAACTATTGTGTTACTGTGTTGTGGGGCTATCGTGGGACCCATCGTACAGCCGAAACGGTTCAGGTCAGTTTGGTGCAGCCATGGATGATGGGGGGAATTGATCAGCTGCCCCAACCTGCCCCACTGGTGAACTACATGGCCATGAATACCCCACCAGCTGCATGTAGCCCTTCAAGGCACCAATCGACTGTGATACTGCACACAAGCAAACGGTAGGAGTGTGTGGAACATGCACACACAGCACACAGCAGCGGGCAGCAGGTCGCGCGGCCAGCACGCCAAGTGTTCCCGCCACACACCTCAAAACGCGTCAAGCGGGAACCGAACACTAGCCTTCTCACTGGTGGGGCACAGCCTTGCTTACCCCACCAGCTCTATCTGGGCATACAAGACTTCAGTCGTGACAGGACATACCCAACTGTATTGCTGCGTTGTAGGGCTTTCGTATGACCCATCGTTAAGCCCAAAGAGTTCCGTTTAGGTTTTGCCACGGCCGGTGGGGTAAACTACGGATGTGCCCCACAGGTGGAGGATTTGTGCCTAAATACTCCACCACCATGGACGTCGCACTTCCGTACCAGGCTCCAATGGACACACAAGCACCGTAATAGGAGTGTGAAGATGATGCACGCACAATACACAACACACAGCAGCACAGCAGCACAGCACAAGGGGAGGGGGAACCTGGTGCAAGAATCTCCGCCGCACAGCCCCAAAAATGTCGGGTGGAAGCCTGCGGTCGCTGTGATCTTTCTGTGGAACCAACACGCCAGCATACTGTACCAGCACCGAACCCGCGGGCCGATTCACGAAACCACCTATCCACAGCGCGTAGCACCGGCGAGACCCATGGCGAACTCTCAGCTTCAAGCGCTGGGAAAGGTCCGTGAGAAGCTAGACTTAGTCCCCCATCGTTTTCTCCTGACACGAGTGGTGTACCCTGCGGAGATGAGGGACCGAAGAAGGTGACAGATAGTGGGATCTTCCTGCTTGGACGCCCACTATCTGTCACCTTCTTCGGTCCCTCATCTCCGCAGGGTACACCACTCGTGTCAGGAGAAAACGATGGGGGACAAACTCTAACATCTCACGGACCGTTCCCAGCGCTTGAAGCTGAGAGTTCGCCATGGGTCTCGCCGGTGCTACGCGCTGTGGATAGGTGGTTTCGTGAATCGGCCCGCGGGTTCGGTGCTGGTACAGTATGCTGGCGTGTTGGTTCCACAGAAAGATCACAGCGACCGCAGGCTTCCACCCGACATTTTTGGGGCTGTGCGGCGGAGATTCTTGCACCAGGTTCCCCCTCCCCTTGTGCTGTGCTGCTGTGCTGCTGTGTGTTGTGTATTGTGCGTGCATCATCTTCACACTCCTACCACGGTGCTTGCGTGTCCATTGGAGCCTGGTACGGAAGTGCGACGTCCATGGTGGTGGGGTATTTAGGCACAAATCCTCCACCTGTGGGGCACATCCGTAGTTTACCCCACCGGCCGTGGCAACACCTAAACGGAACTCTTTGGGCTTAACGATGGGTCATAACGAAAGCCCTACAAACAACGCAGCAATACAGTTGGGTATTTTTTTTTACAGTTGGGTATGTCCTGTCACGACTGAAGTATTGTATGACCAGATAGAGCTGGTGGGGTAAGCAAGGCTGGGCCCCACCAGTGAGAAGGCTAGTGTTCGGTTCCCGCTTGACGCGTTTTGAGGTGTGTGGCGGGAACACTTGGCGTGCTGGCCGCGCGACCTGCTGCCCGCTGCTGTGTGCTGTGTGTGCATGTTCCACACACTCCTACCGTTTGCTTGTGTGCAGCATCACAGGTATGCATGTCCTATTGTACGTCGATTGATTGGTGCCTTGTAGGGCGAGATACAACTGGTGGGGTATTTAGACATAAATCCTCCTATTAGCCCCCAACCGGTGGGGGAATCTACGAAATACCCCACGGGGAGGGATTTTAGGATTTATACATGCCGAATTTTTTCTGGAGTGAAACAACAACGTCGTTTCGTGTTGCATCTACTCTTGTGCATGGCGCGCGCACAATAGCACCATATGGTATTGACTCTGCCCCGCATGGGTTGAACCGTCGCTGCGTCTCCCTCTATTTAATTCAAAAGAGATAGCAGTAGTCGCCGGAGTAAACGGTGGCACCAAAACAGCAAGGCAGGGGCAAGGCAGCCTGCCTTGAACATGATCAACTGCGAACCGCAATCGTCGTACGTAGCTGCTGTACGTCTGTAGTGTACAGAAGCAGTCGAGCAGCTTACCTGAGTTTGCCCCCGTGACAATAATCAGCTTGCTTGCTGTGCTCGCTACACCAGCCACACCGCACAGCAAAGGAAGAACCAGCGGTAGCGGGAAGAAGCGAGCAAGGCGCATGTCGAGCACCGCGGTCGTGTGTACACGCGTACACACCAAACCCCCCTTGCTCCTTTGGCCTGTGTTTGCCTTTTGCTGTGCAAACCGAACGGCTGGACTGTGTGGAGGGGCATCTCCAAACAAATATGAATAGTATATTGGGTATGCACTGCTGTAGTAGTCATCCTATTTGACGTGCCCCTCTCGCTCGAATCTTTATTTTGTACTTCGGTAGGATCTTGGGCACTGCCACTGCTGTTGTACTACTGCTGTGCACACAGCGGACAGAGAGACAAGACACAAAGCAGCAGCAAGGCAGATTACTACTGCAGACCACAAAAAACGCACACAGAGTGCACGGCCGGCAGACCTGACAGAATTCTCCGCGGAGCAAGCGACGAACGGGATGGTGGACGAAGTTTAGCTCACCGGCCACCGTCCTGCGCGTGTTGTTTCTGGCAACTCCGCGATGAAGCCGACAAGTGGGCCACCCGCCCAGCAAACAACCGGTGGTGGCAGCAATCCCGACAAAAGATAGCAGAGGACAGCAGATCTGATGCACATCTACCTAATCTTTAGGGTTGTTGTGCTTGACAGGGCCATTAGTCTACTGCCATGCAGGTCGTCCAGGCAGAAGCTCTTCAACATACATGACATAAGGACTTCCTGATGCTAGGCGCTGTTGTTCCATGTTCCCCCGTGCGTCATGCACCTGCAACTTATGGTTTGGTGGTTTGCTTTCAGAAAAGGGGCTTAGAGTGGAGGCAAGAGTAGGCAGAATTTTTCGCTGTCCTTCGCGCAACGGGTGCCCCCGGTAGTACGGCCGGCTCCTGCGCCAGCGGCGGTGGCGCCGGTGGCAGTGGCATCGCCGACGGTGGTATCGATGCCCGTGGCACCGACGGGGGCTGCAGCGTTGCTCTCCATGGACGAGGAGAAGGGTACCGTTCGCACAGATGAAGCCAGTGCGGCCGGGGAAGCTGATGACGATGAATGCCAAGTATTAGGTGTAGATACACCGCCGGCCTCGTCCGCGACGCAACCATCTACGACACCGACACCAGGTCCGGGCTGGCGCATTGGGCGTGGCCCTGTCGGGGGGACTGGGCTCCGAGAAGATTTGGTGCAAACTCTGCGATCGAGAAGTTCAACGATCGAAAATGAGACTGCACGTGGGAGGTAGGGAAAGGTGCGTGTGTTGTTCAGTGTTTTTGGCATTGGAATGCAAGAACGAGTGACATTGAACATGATTTGATACTGTTTCGGTGTGCTATGCTGAACACGTGCACAACTTCGTTATTGTTCATTAGCATATAGTGTAGGCTTCACCTTCGTAACCCGCTTCATCACCTTGTTGTACACCTGTGCTATTAATTGGCGAGACCTTGGGCAACGGTGCTTACCGGACGCGCGTGGGCCACCCTCTCTTTTTTTCGATGTAGGCTCTCCAGGTGAGCACTCTCGCGGCTTGTGCGGTGGCGTAGGTTTGCCGCAGCACCATTCACGATCCATGAGGAGGCCATAGCTCTGAACCTGGGCAGTGTCAGGGGTGGGCTCAGATACCTCACGGTGCACCAACATGGTCTTGAAGTGCTTCGTCTGCTCCCAGAACAACTACATTTGGAAGTATGGCATGTCGGAGCACGTCACAAGACGCCACCAGGAGGACATGCGTGTGGCGGCGGGTACGGGGGTCGATAAGTTCAAGGAGGCCTACTCTATCTCGGAAAGCGAGAAGGCCAAGGCACTCCACAAGTTCAAAGCCGGGAAGCCTCGCCAACGCGGCCAGGGAAACGAAGTCCTCCCCCCTGGCGCACTTGGGAGAACGGAAGGGAACGGTGCATCTGGCCGTAACATGGCCGGCACACGGTCCTTGGAGGATATGGGTGAGGAGGACGAGGAGGAGGACGAGGAGGAAGGAGAGTTGGACGAGGACGAGGAAGAAGACAACGAGGACGAGGGTCAGGACGAGGGTCAGGACGAGGGTCAGGACGACGACGACGAAGAAGCAGAAGAAGAAGAAAAAGAAGACGGGCAGGGGGGGTGGAAGGCAAACGAAGGAAGCGACTGGCTCCCGAAAACGTGGCGAGACACCGCACGAGAACTCGTAAGTAGGGGTCCGCATGGGTAAGCGGGGTAGACTGATCAAGTCATCCGTAACCCTACAAGACCAAGGCTACGAGTAGATTTGCGAGACGATTATGTTCCCTGTTTTGCAGTGGTAGAAGAGGCAAGGGCAAGTTCGCAAGGGAGGTGGTTCGATGGATGGTTGCTAGCTTAGCTGTTTCGCTCATTTCGAGCCTTGGTCGGTACTGTAGTTTGGTACATATGGGGCGCTTGCGTACGTACGTGTGTTGCTGTAGCACGGCTGGGTGAGCGTGGGCCGGCACCGATTACGAGCAGATGCGGCAGGGGTATCGAGAGCGCGGCATATTTGCCATTCATCTAACCTCATGGTAACGTTTCGACGATTTATGGTAACTTTTCGAATTTCTCCCTCCTCCGGGGGGGGGTGGGGGGCTATGTGTCCGGATATTTTTTGCGCGAAGACCCTTGATCTAGCGGTGAATAAATGCCTTCAGCAGAATCATCATCTCTGCTTCCTTCTTGACCACCTGCGAATGGTTGTTACTGCTGTGTAGTCGTTTTTAAGTGTTCGGGGTACTGAGAATAAAAGGTGGATGGACTGTAGACGAGACCCGTTGAACGTTATTCGTGGGAGTCGTTTATTGGACGGATGACCGGGGGAGATAGGGAACGGGTACATACTGCTGTACACGCGTACAACGAGCCACCACTTAAGAGCTCAGGAGTGAAGATATCGAGCCTAAAAAAATCAAAATTGAAGAACTTGAGCATTTGTGAGCTCGGCTAAGAACCCCTACACAAAAATCTATAATATCGCGACCATTCGCGGCATGACTCTAGGAACGAAGAACGTCAGCCTCGGCCGAACCTATAAATTTTATGTGTGGTGGCGCGTAGTCTACTGCATGTCTGACTTTTTTTATGAGCGTATCATTTTTGTAGAATTCCTCGATCTTTCCGGGTGCCTTGATTGCTGTTTGTAAAATGCAAGAAGTAGGTGATTGTGGCGCGTGCTCTGTACAGCAGTGTTGATGGCGCAAGGCGTTGGTGACGCAGGAAATGGCCTCTCGTAACAAGCAGTTTGGCCAATCTTTTTTTTTTGTGCTGTCAAATAACTAACGCGGTCCAAAATAACATGATAAGAACTGTACATCCGCTCACAGCACACGAGCTTTTGTTGTCTCTGGTGCACTGGAGGCGGTGCACCGTCGACACAAGTCCACGCTCTTTTGTACGCTCTATATAGACACGAGAAAGTAGGACGTTGTCAGCACACACGACAGGTTCGTTTCCCGAAACGCATTCACAATGCGAGAATGAGCCACCACTCTTGTTCTGGGCAACCCTCCAGCATATTCATCCTGCCGTATTTCTCTCCATACCGAGGATCGATTGTTGCAAGTGTATCGGATTTGGTGAGGCCTCCTGCACCCTCCCGCCCGTAGTAGATTGCCTCCTTTGAATGTATCTGTCCTTGACCACTGATGCCGACCGTCGCGGTCTCACCCCAAACTTTGGTAACGACGCCGAGCTGGACAATGGTATCGATCGTTGCTGATGATACGCACAGGCGGCAACATCGTGCTTGCTTGAACTCCGGAGACAGACAGCTCGCTACCACCGGCGTAGCTCTGCCCTCGGACTTGAATCCATCCGATCGGATCGGTATTTTTACATTGCGCCTGACAAAATGCTCTATCACCGAGTAGGCCACAACTGACAACGCTTGGTGCTACGATGAGCTATGTCCCCCTTACGATGACCGTCTGCGACCTCTCGTTGTACGCCACGTGCCCATCCGCCGCGAGCTGCTGCAGCGCCCCGACGACCTCCTTTTGCGTCAGCTACGGGAAACAGGAGAAACGACAGAAAAACAAGAGTACATCGAAAACAGCGTAGTTGTTATGATTCTGGGCGATACATGTTCCGCTCAGGCATCCCCACGGATGCAGCCGCCGCAGTCTGTGCGGCTCTTCTGATCGAGAGGTCGGGCTCGCCACTTCCTCTCCCTCTTTCCAAGCTACCCTGGCTTGAACTAAAAGAATAAGACCATAAAAAAGATCAACAGAGAGGCCGTTGCTCCGACACTCCACCAGCTCCAGCAGCCGGCAAGCACCTTCACTGCCAATCGAACTCGGTCTTATCGTGCGATAGCATCGCGAGGTGAGCCTATTCTGGTTTTTCTGGTGGCTTGAAGCGCTCATCCGGCACCTGTATGGTTTGCGCGCCAAATCCTAAAGCATAAAGGCGAACGTCCATGACTCCATGACCACACACACACATCGGACCTATACGTAACCGCACGATCTGTCAAATGGTGTCCAACCCGAGAATCGAATTCGGTTTCCACAGACCCGATGTGGTGTACGGACCGCTATATCACTAAATAGTTACACCTTTACTGTCCAGAAAGACTTTGGCGGAGCGCTCAAGCTTCAAGGACAGGTGTTTGGATACTGAGGCCGTTGCTGGCGGGTGCGTCACAGCAACCAGAACTGAGAGATGACGCGACGAGAGCTAGAGCGTTGTCTTTACAAAAGACCGTCCTCTTCGCACCAGAGGACTTCTTTGTTGTGTTCATGTCTTGGTCGGGGGACGCAATCGATCGCTTTCGTATGCGTGCCTATCTGGGTTACATATCTTGGTGGGAGGAAGCTTTCTTTTTTTGTGGATTCCTGGGGTTATATTTCGTGTGGCATAGGTGTTGTTGGAGGTGGTGTCTGGGAGTTCAGTCTGTTTCTTGGGGTTGCATTCTTGGGCCTTCGTTTTTGCTCCTACTCGGTAGGTGGTACCGAGTCGATGTTGGGAAGTTGTGTCTTCGTACGTATGTATGCACGCGTGGACTCGGTGGGTCCGTGAGGGCTTGGTCGCCATCGAGACATCGATTGCGATGACACTTGTAGCCAGTGGCGGTATGTCGGTCTATTTCACTGGCATGGAGATCGCTCTTCATGCCAACGACTTCACGAGAGGGTTTTATCGAAAGTCTGCCCCTCAGGAATGAGAGAAATGAGATGGCGGCGTGAAGTTTGGGTGAATAGTTCCCTTTCGAGGCATATCGGTTGGTGCAGAACCTCGCGGTTCTGTCATCCTCTGGGTACGAGTACAGGGTAAGGCGTTAGTATATTGTGCCTTATTGTGAATTCCACCCCAGACTGTCGAAGCATCTGACGGGGATCTACCTTCGGGGTGTTGCCACAGATAGAGTCAGTGTATGCTGGACGCTGAACCTGCTGCAGCAGGTTCGCTTCCCCCCTGACTCACAACACAAATATCCGTACCCTTCAGCCTCTCCACAAGAGGTTGAACCGGTGTGTATCCACACCACACATCCCAAGGGGAACTTGTCCACACATTAACCTGGAGACATCCGTCTCATATTATATACTTATACTATTGAAGTGGGGACATCAACGCAGTAGTATTTTAGCAAGCTTACGAACGCATGTAGGATACCATGAGGATTGTCATTGGTTTTATTTCAAATTGAAGAGGAGACATTTTTACGATGTAAGTGACTAGAAATGAGTCCTACATATGTTGTTGTACTTCGTATTGGTTTAGTATTCATGTAGAGTATGAGACATTAAGTGAAAGTTTTTTGAGGTACATCTGCAATTGTCGGAAGGCAAAAAAAAAAAAAATGAAGTGGGGATGTTACGGTTCGGGGCGATACATGCTCCGCTCAGGCGTCCCCACGGATGCAGTCGCCGCAGTCTGCGGGGCTCTTCTGATCGAGAGGTCGGGCTTTTCCAAGCTACCCTGGCTCGAACTGCAAGGAGGCCGTTGCTCCGACACTCCCCCAGCTCAAACTTGGTCTTATCGTGCGATAGCATCGCGAGTTGTGAGTGTTTTGGTATTTCTGGTCGCTTGAAGCTCTCATCCGGCGCCTGTATGGTTTGCGAGCTAAGTCCTAGCGCACAAGCGTTGACGTCCATGACTGCAAAGTCACACACACGCATCAGACCTATACCGTAGTCAGACGATTTGTCTCATAGTTTCGTTGCTGTCGAGTGTGGATGTCGTTGTCGTTTTCGCATGAAAAAAAAAAAACTTAGCAACGTACCCGCCTCCCTCTCCTCCTCTGATCTTTCTTACATCAAGGGCGCGTGGGTGCGCTTTAATCGAGCGATGCAAAAGGTCGCATTTTGTCTAAGTCACCTAGGGCCTGTACTCCCGCGTAGAAGAACGCAACACGGACCATAAACACGATTTCGTTCCGTGAAGCGAGAAACTACTTTCGTGACAAGAACACAACCACCGCCCGCTACTCGTTCTGGAGTCACTTGGCAACAAGAAGGCGAGTCGATAAAATCCATCATAAACGGGCACCTGAAGGTTCGCGTAATGAACGTCATGCGTGTCGCGCCCGTCCCTGTTACTTGAGACCAACCAACCCGAGCACGAATCAACTTGGCCGAGGGAAAAATGACGAGAAACGCACGGTGCTGGGCTGCTGCACGGAAATACGGTTGGAGATCACGGCTACAAACCGGCGATTTCAAACATGTCCCGCGTCTGCTTCAACGTAGCCATCGTGGCATCTGGAATCACAAACTCGAAAAAAGCGCAGTCGTCAGACTACTGGACGGCACCAAACATGAGCCGAGATGAGCAGATCGGGGCGGTGCAGCTCAGGTTATTACGACAGCGGCAGCACGAGCGGCATAGTGCGGCAACAGAAGTTTTTTTGCTTTCTCATTCGGCTGACCATTACATCCTGTGCGATAGTAAAAACATTTTACATCATGTACTCTCTAAAAAACCAAAGTGGATTTTAATTGAGAAATAGACAAAAGTGGGTAACCCACCCCTTTCTTAGACGAAGGTGGGTACGATAAAACTACAAATTTGCTCTGCGGAGACCACTCGTGACAGGGCCCAAGCACAGCATGAACATGAACTTTCTTCGACTGTCGGGCACGTCTTCACCCTACACACAGCCGTAGCGCACAAGGCCTCAACAATTCCGGTGGGTACTACTTTTTTTTTCATGTACCCACCTTTGGCTGCTGTGACCAACTTTTGTCCAAAATGTACCCACCTTTGTCCGATCTTTTCATTCGAAAAGTCCCCCCGTGCGGTGACGTAAAGATCAATTTTCGATCGAAAATTCGGACAAAGGTGGGAACATTTCGCACTATAGTGAGTCACAAAGCAAGCAAAGATGGGTACATGAAAAAATTACTTCGTAGTAAATTCCGGTCGGTAACCACCGGTGGGTAACACCGGAATTTCGGACAAAATCGGGCATCCTGTCGAGGCCTTGTGTGCTGCGGGTGTGTGTAAGGTGAAGACGTGCCCGAAAGTCGAAAAAACTTGATATGCATGCTGTGCATGGGCCCTGCCCATGTTTTCCATGCATCGGACTGATATTTTTAAGTGCTTGCGCCCTGTCACAAGCGGTCTCCGCAGAGCAAATTTTCGCGCACCCCACTTTGTCTGAGAAAGGGGTGGGTATACCGACTTCTTTCTATTTCTCATTTTATTCTCTATGAACCTCGAGAAAATATTGCATGTATAGCTATTGTGATATTTGCAAATGATAGAAAGCTCTTTGCGGGGCGGAATAGTCTACTCTGGAAATCTCTATACAGAGTATTTGGTTCCACACTGCCAGGTGACGAAGAGCGTTTTGGTTGCCTTGGCGTGGTAGCCAACGTGGAACCTTCTACTCTGGGAATAGAGATTCCTTGGTGTGGTGGTTGCACCGACCGTCGGTAGAGCCGTAGTTCCTCTTGAAGAGGAATGTGGCGCGAAATGTCAAGCGTGGCTGAGTGTCCTCGGACAGCCTCGGTTGAGAGTTCGGAGTGGAGCGTGTCGTTTTCGTGAACACATTTTCTCCAACTCCATGGTCCACAAAGTTGGTTCGCAGTAACTCGGGTTATCTCGAAACGTTTCTTCGTAGGAAAATGGATTACCAAGTTTGTGTTTTACAGCTTAGGAAACCCCATCATCTTGGCTTCCACATACTGACCCGTAGTGAGCTCTACACGTTTTTTTCTACGTAGAGCATGGGGTTTCTCGTTTTCGACCGTCGGTGTCACCTAAACCCTTTCCCATTCACCTGTACATCGCTCTGCGCTTCCATCTTCTTCCTAAGCTCCCCGACGCCTGTCCGCTTCCCCTTGAGGGGTCCCGTCAGCAGAGACTTGATCTCCGCGCTAAGGGCATCCACGGCGTCTCTGATTCGAAAAAAAAAAAGAAGGAAACAAGCAGAACACCCAACGCCCCAAGTTTTTGGCTCGAGCGAGAGGCCGGGAAAACACGAGCGACGAAAGAACGGAGGACGACACCCTTCCGCTTCCGCTTTCGGATGAGGCCAGCACACGTAAACAAACACAAGGGCAGGCTTCCAATGCAACCAGTAATACGAGAAACGAAGCACAGAACGCGATCCTGCAACCCTGAACACTTTGACTGGAGGATGTGTCAGGACGCGGCTCGAGAGGAGGGCCAGAGTGGAGCACACCCCGATCTGATTACATTGGTATCAACATGTGTTTGAGCAATCCTGGCGAGGCTCCGCATGCTCCACTGTCGGATCACGCCCCAAGCTCCAGATGGCATTCCCGACATAACAACAAACACACGTGCGACGCTCACCTGCGGAGCAGAACGAAACACAAAATGAAACCGCACACTCTTTTGTCCATTTGCGTCCGGCAGAAACGACTCACCTGTCGGAGGCCCCCTGGCCCGTCGCGATCATGTCCATGTCGATGGTACCCGTCCTAGGGTCTGTGGCGGCGTTCTGGGTGGCCACTCTCATGAGGCGCACGGCCTCGGCCACGTCGCTGTCTTCTACGAACCTGATTCGTCATGATGTGGAGTGAGCGATGACAATTTAGTCAAGGTCGGCATCAAGGTCTACGTAAGTTGTCAAGACGAAAGACGCATCGATGATCACGATCAAAATCATGGGCACCATCAACCGGATACATCAATACGTGGGTAAAAGGTCAAGGTCAAGATCGGGGTTGACGAAACCGTGATATTACTTGGCAACGAACGTTGCATGCCAAGTGGGACGATTCATACTACCAAAGCCGGTCCATTCATAATTTTTCTAAATACGTCTCCGTCAGGGTAGAAATCATTCCAGCCGGGTCAGACAAGTTGTATGCATACACGCTATTCGCGCGTGACGCATCGGAAATCGATCATTCCAAAGCATGGCGAGCACGCTCTGCCCAAGGCATTCCGCGGAAGAAGTCACCGAGCGTGTCGCATCTTGGCCAGCCCCTCCGACAGGCGGATGAGGCTCTCCAGCTGCCTCGGGGTTGCGCTGATGGTCTTGGTTCCCCTGCCCACCATGTTGCGCATGGCGAGGTACCCCTTGATGAGGGACCGGACGGCAGGCTCGCTTATCTGCAATCGACGAGCCGAATTCGGTGCGTTCAGTAAGTCAGAGTGGCATCTAGTTGGGAAGCGCTGGGGGAGGAGGGGCAGGGGCAAGTGTTTGGAAGAGTTATCCTCGCTGTGCATACACGCCAAAAGAAAAGCACGAAGCCCCCTGTGAAGTGGGCATGAACCACAATACGGAGCATCAAACATGTGCCACCAGGACTAGGTAAAGTGTCAACGAAAATGACGTAGGCCGGGCGGCGAGTGGGAAAACGTGGCAAGCAATACATCGCCGTGTCTCCCACGATAAATCTCAAAAGTGTTTCACACACAACAAGTAGGGACGATGTCACTTCATTGGTCTCTGCCCGTTAGCGCGCGGTCCATGCAAATAAAAAACGTAGCGCACGTGCCCACCTCTGGCTGTATATGCCGGCGAGCGTAGGCGATGTAGTCCATCAGAAAGTCCTGCTCCAGCGGGGAAGACGGTACCACGGGCACCTTGTAGTACAGGGACACCAGGTGCCGCGCCAGCTGCCGGTCCATTGCGGCGTTGGGCTTGTCCAAGATCTGCCATTTGTTCCCCCCGCGTTGGCAGTCCGATGCAACATCCACCAATCCATGGTGTGCGTTGAAACCAACCACCAAAGGACATATGACGTGAACTAAAGACGATTGAGAAGGACGCTGTGGGGAAACAGACCGGCCGAACCGGTTCCCAAGCCGCAAACGCAATCACGCACACGTTGGAATCATAATGCTTACGCTACTGAAGAAACGTGGAAAGAGGCGGGTGAGAGGACGGCAATGTCAGCGTCTACACCCTATCAGAACTCATGTTCGCGAAGACATCAGAGCACCCAGCCCGCCGCCCGGGGGTTGTCGGCACACGGCAAACATACGAAATGTCACCAGGGCGTATTTGCGAGGAGAATTTTTTGGTGCCATCGGTTAAAGTGAGTCCAACAACTACCGGGAGAGGAACCAGAGGCTCTTGACACGCATCCCTTACCGGTCTCGCGTATCTCGGTCTTCGTTTTCTCGTGACAAAAGGTCAGCATCCTGGTGTACCGTAGGAAAAAGCGGCGAGAGTGTGGGGGGAAACTTACCCTGCACGGATGATCCTGGAGGAGCGAGAGAAAGATGTCCGCTAAATGAGACATCGCTGTAGCTCTCTGTCTCCCTCCCTCCCTCTCTCTCTCTCTCTCTCTCTCTCTCTCTCTCTCTCT